CCCGGTGCAGGGTGTAGCAGGCGGTGCCGGCGCAGACCACCTCGGCCTCCTCCCCGCCAGACCCCCGCACCAGCAACAGCAGCAGCAGCAGCAGCCGGGCGGTGGCCATCCCACAGGCTGGACGGACGGACGGATGGACGGAGGGACTCGTCAGCCGCCGGCTCACATCCCCTCGTCTCGCTGAGCTCGCCCTGCACGCATCCTGTGCTCCCGGGTCTCCTATTTATCACCGGAGGCTACGGCTTCCTGTAGCGTGGTCTGGCTGGCCGCTTGTTGTTGACGGCCCAGGAGCTCTCCTCGCTGGCTTCCCCTTCCCCCCGGCGCAGCCGGCTCCTCGCTCCCATCCTCAAGCTTTGGTGATGCTTTTCTGTGGGAGAAACTAGCTGGGTTCCTGCTTTTGTGTTTTGGTTGGGTTGTTTTTATAGTTTTCGAGGGCTTGATCGACTCACTCACCCAGCAGATGATTTTTCTAATCCCTAATACGGCCTGATAGTTTTCAAGCATGTATTGCTAAAAGGAGAAAAAAAGAAAATAAATTAAAAAAAAAAAGCCGTGGGATCCCTTGCTATCAGCCTCTAAAAGAAACGGAATATTTGGCGCGGTGTCTCATGTGCACACTACATTTTGAGTGCATTTTTCCCCTTCTTCGTGCGCTTTAAATAGAAGGACAAGCCCTGAAATAGGAGCTAGGTCGTGGGAAGGTCCAGGCTGCCAGGACGGAGCCAAGCTCGGCCAGTCCCCGATGCCGTCCAGAGTAAACCCTCCATGCCGGGGGAAGCACTGGCCAGAGGTTGCCCCAGCATCACATGGGTGAGGGTTGATGCTGCGATGCTCCGTGTTAATAAGTCGCTAATCACTTGACCCTGATCCGGTGTAGTGCAGAGAATCAGCTGGGCTTGGCTGATGTCGGTGGCTGTGTGGAAGGCCATTAAAGGGCAAAGGCCTTAATATAGCACACTGTAATGTTTAAACAAACATTAATGTTGCAAAAGCCCCTAAAAGGGCTTGAAGCTACTTGTCTGCAACAGCATGTTAGGATTCAAAAGCATTTTAGCACCACGGTTGAAATTTAAATAATTTTAAATATTTAAATTAGATATTTACTGGTGCTGAATTTGCTGTGCTTCTCCTTTTTCAGACCAGGAAGGAGATGCCAAGCAACACAGTGACTTCTTTTCTGCCCCAGAGCTGCAGCAGGTGTGCTCACCTTTGGGTGCCGCAGCCATGTGCATAACCAGCCGTTCACGTATGCAAAACAGTATTTTGCACATCTGAGCACCCCAGGGCATGTCCTGGTTCGGACCCATCATTTTTTTATTATACTGTAGAGCTGTCCTTTTCAAGCCCATTCCTGCCCGCAGGGCAGTGTCTGCAGAGAGGTCAGGATGGTGACAGTGTTATAGAGGGTGAAGATTAATGGAGTGCCCTGAAGAAGGGAGGACTGCAGGATGGTGTCTCCAGACACAGTGCTCCTTGCGCTTTACTCTTGCTATTTGGAGACCCTTGGATGAAGATGAGCGGGTAGAATGGTTTGATGACACAGGTTTTACATGTCAGGTAACGTGGGGCGGTCATCAGAACACACAGTAGTGAGAAGCGGAGGGTAGCAAATGAGCAAAAAGCTAATGAGTTCAGAAAAAGATAATCCTGGTTCCCTCACTGATAGTCTGCCCGCCCTTTTGCATCCCTAGGATCTTCTCCTGGAGCTTCCCTCTTGCAGCAGCTAATTCAGACTTTAACCACTTGACCTGCGAGTCTGTCTTATCTTTTTCCGTTTAGCAGGCATCCGTCATAACCATTAGTTCAATGTTCATTCCAGTAATCTTCCTATTTGTTGATTTATCTGGTTTTTGTGTGCTGACTTAACTCAGGAAAGCAGTAGCGAGTGACTGCAATCCAACCAAGGAACCAAAACAAGAAACCCCCTTGTTTGCTTCCCTCCTCTATACCCTAAACAGAAAAGTTTCCAAAAATCCCAGTACTGAAGACTACATATTTCTGTTGTTCTTCTCCAGACCTGTTTCTGCACAGTGTTCCTGGAAGAGCCCCGGGTGCTGGGATGTCCTCTGGCCAGCAGCAGGGACTGGGGCTGGGTTTTGGCTTTTGGAACATCTGAAGATTGCAAAGACCTTGGATGCGAAGGAGAAGGGGGAGGAGCTGGAGCCCCTTCACCAATCTCTCCTGCACCCTACGGTTTGACAAGCTACTGAATGGCACTGGCTTCACTGAAAAAAAGAGAGAACCATCATTTGAGTGATGCAGAGGCGGCACTCCTATCTGAGCTGAGAATAAGATGCAGAGATCCACAGCTAATGCTCTGAAACTGAAACATTTTGGGTCCGCAGCCACACCAAAAAGCTGCATTGGGAGGAAAAAAATATTTTGATGCCATCTTGAATCGGTTTTATTTATGATTTCCTATGGGAAGAAATAGGGGGAATTTTCTTTAGACTTGAACAAAATAAGAGAACTCAACACAAAAGTATTTCCTTTCTTCTAAACCAGTACGTGTCTTTGCTTTTATAAAAACACTGCTGGTGTTTTCTCCTTCCAGGACAATTTATTTCAGCAACCCAAATGAGCATTTTTTGTCCAACAAAGTTCCATGGACAAAAAATGTCCAGTTCTAGCTACAGCTCCTCCAGACATTTCTAAACTGGGGTTATGGACAAAACCAAAAATACTTTGACATGCAGCTAGAAATTATTTTTAAGAGGTCATTCCAGCAGAGTAATTAATGACTTGCTGGTGACATTCTTCATTAGGATATGTACGAGGTAGAAGCCAGGGCTCCTGTCCCAGGGAAGAGAACTTCTTTTTCAAGACTGCAGTGTCAGATCCTTTCCTTTGATTTGCAAGAATATAGCTAATAACTTTTTCCAGTGGCTTTATTTTTTTCCCCCAATAGATGGTTGAATGTTCCTGCTAGAGCTTTTTACAGGCTGGTTACAATTTCATGGACAGGAAAACACCCCCCACACCACTTTTTAGTCAAATCTTCATCTGCAAAGCTTATGCTAGTATTTGTACCCACAGTTTTGGCAAAAGAGTAGTTTTTGGTAACTTAAAAACATGTCATGCTTCTATTGTTTTTTATTAAATACGCCATGCTTTTTAAATTTTCTTCTCAGTTGGGCTGACGTTCCCATTTGAAAATCAATCACAGTCCTGGTTCGGTTAAAAAGTTAGAAGTTAAAAAGTTAAAAGGGGTTTTGTTTCTCAATCCCCACGGCTGAACACGTCTATAACCCCCTGTTTCAGATAATAATCAAAAGCAAATCATCTTCTGGAGACCAGAAATCCTGCCGACTGGCATGCCACCCTTAAAAAAAAAAAAAAAGAAATTAATTTAAAAAATTAAAAGATCAGCTTGCTGAAGGAACTGGTTAAAGAATGTTTCTCCAAGGCCAAAGAAGGAAACATGTACCGTCTGGTTGACATCAGCAACGGCTGTTTGTGCAAAACCCCAAGGCTGGGACAAGGGACAATGGGGCCCAGCAAGGGGGAACACCTGCACCAGCAGCAGCCGGAGAAGAATAGGAGGAACTGGGCTTCCTCTGGGGACGTCCTCAAGGACATCGTGTCGGATCGGTGGTGTACAGCAAACTACCCGCTCCCCGAGCGAGGAGCAGGGCCTGGCAGCCCCCGTGCAGTGGGCAGGCTCCTGGGATGGGGTAACATTTTTTGCACGTGAAATTTTGGGGAATTTGGACAATGTGGAACTGGGTTGACTCCTGCTACTGCCAAACATTGGCACTGGAGAGGCTGCTGCGTGTTTGCACAAGTGCACTTTAGTTTTGATGATTTACAGCAACACCTTATTGGATATTAAGATTTTTAACATTTGCTTTTAAAGCAAGAAAATCTAAATACTATCAGAGCTGATTGGAACATTTTCCAGCTACATATTTTTGAAGGTTGATGCTTAGTGGCTGGTGTTCAAGTCCCTTGCTAAGAAGCAGGAACTAGCAGGGCTGTTAACGGAAATGAAATCCAAATTACCAGGAAGAAGACGTTGCTTTATTTAGTTTCTAGCTACCATTGTTACTATCTTTATGGCAACAGTCGGTGCATTTGCTTGCATGTCTTGGAGTCAGGTAAAGAAGAACGCTGATTTTTGTTAAGGGTCTCATAACTATGAAGCTGTGGCGTGTTGTTAGCTCGCTCGTTCAGCAACTCAAAGCAACTGTTTCTGACATACTTTTTGGATGCAGCTGGGTACGGGGAGGTGTTCCTCCTTCCCTGCCCCTGCTCTGCCAGGCTTGCCCCCCCGGCAGGGTCAGCACAGCCCCGGGAGCCGTCTGAGACAAGCACCAGGAGGCACAAAGCTGTCCACTTAACGCGTTAGCGAAGCTGCTGGAGACCCTGCGAGTTATTTAAAAATGCCCGGAAGGAAGTAGAAAAGGAAACAACATTGAATATGGGGTGGGTGGGGGGTGGGGGTAAAAAAAAAAAGAAAAACCACTGCCAAAACCCGGAGCGTAACAGGAGAGACGGAGAAAGGCTTTGCAAACAACCATGAGCACCAAAGACGGCTACCAGGAAACATCCATGGAGAGGAGCACGGGGGGTCTCACCTTCAGAGGCGGTCCCTCTGCACCAGGTTGTTGTCTCAACCTCATATTCTTCTTCTGAAGCTGCAGATGAAGTTAGAAGCTTGGTTTGCTGTGTCACTCAACCACGGGCTAAGCTTATGCAGCTTGCGTTTCAGGGGACAGAGCACACAAGCAGACTTGGTGCCACAGTTTATTCATTAATGTAATACTTGTATTTGCAGGAAATATATACCCTCTTCAGTTATTATTTATATTTTTATATATACACATTATGATATTACACACACAAATACGCATACTTTATATACAGATTTATAAACCTTATTCTACATATTTTTTATCAACAAGTACATTAGAATTCTCTTTGGGTTACAGTAGGCTGTCCTAAGCCAGACTGAGGAATATCACGCTCCTAAAATCCTCCCGGGATTTTTGCATGGGCCTTTACACAGAGAAAGGAAAATACTCCCTGTGAATAAATGCAACAAAGTCAACTTTATAAGAAAAGCAAATGAAAATATTTCACATTCTTTAGTGGTAATTGCTGAGAATT